ATTTTAACTACTGTGGCTCAGTGCTATGGAATACTGGGAGTTGTAGTTTGGTGATGCATTAGCACCCTTTGGGAGAGAAAACTGGTGAAACTACGACTCCGCAAAACTCATAGTATTGAGCCATGGCGTTAAAATGGAGCCAAAGAGCATTCATTCTTCAGTGTAGATGCTGAAGCCTTGGACTAGAACTTCCATTAGGCAGTACAGTATGTCTACTACAATTGTGTTTTTCAGTACCAAGTGTCACACACATATTGTCAATGGGCCCAGGAACATCTTTGCTGGATTTCCTATCTGTAGCATGGACGTGTCAGGTTGTTAACCTGCAGTAACCTGGCAAGGTGCATGACGTGACTCCAAGAATGTGCTATCTTTGCATATCTCTCTCCCAGGTTGAACACTAGTGTTTGTTGTTTTCGGTCCCTGATGCCTGAACTTTAACCGTTCAACTGGGAGGCCATCCTAAAGCCACAGGAAAAAACTAAATGGTTTTAATGATCCTTCCAGGAGTTCCTAACTGCAGACGACGGGATCTTCCCATCTATGTTTCCAGGAATAAAAACTCTCCAGTATTATTTATTTATCGTGTCATCAGCAACCAGACATTTGTATTACATTTTTAACAAAAACAAACAAACAGACAGACAAAACACAGAATTTGCAAGCTTGGTAGTTGATTAAATGTCCTTTGACCAGTATCTGGCCACTTGGAGTGCCTCTGGTGTTGCCGCAAGGAGGTCCTCCATTGTGCATGTGGCAGGGCTCAGGTTGCATTGCAGCAGGTGGTCAGTGGTTTGCTCTCTCCACACTCGCATGTCGTGGATTCCACTTTGTAGCCCCATTTCTTGAAGTTGGCTCTGAATCTCGTGGTGCCAGAGCGCAGTCTGTTCAGCGCCTTCCAAGTCGCCCAGTCTTCTGTGTGCCCAGGGGGGAGTCTCTCATTTGGTATCAGCCATTGGTTGAGGTTCTGGGTTTGAGCCTGCCACTTTTGAACTCTCGCTTGCTGAGGTGTTCCAGCGAGTGTCTCTGTAGATCTAGAAAACTATTTCTTGATTTAAGTCGTTGATGTGCTGGCTGCTACCCAAACAAGGGATGAGCTGGAGATGTCACTGTCTTGGTCCTTTCATTATTGGCTGCTACTTCCCGGCGGATGTCAGTTAGTGCGATACCGGCTAGACAGTGTAATTTCTCCAGTGGTGTAGGGCGCAGACATCCCATGATAATGCAGCATGTCTCATTAAGAGCCACATCCACTGTTTTAGCGTGGTGAGATGTGTTCCACACTAGGCATGCATACTCAGCAGCAGAGTAGCATAGCACAAGGGCTATGTCAGATGTCTTCACTGTGTCCGGTTGTGATCCCCAGGTTGTGCCAGTCAGCTTTCATATGATATAACTTTCCAGTTATATAAAGTGTGCTTTACAATAATCTAAAAACGGAAAGGTTGAGCTTTGCATTACACAGGGGAATGGTGTCGGAGGCCACATTTACACTGCCCTATACTGCAGTTTCTGAATCCAGATTAACTGGATGATATGGCAGTGTGGATACAGCCAGAGACACCACTTGCATTGCCATGGGATATATCTAAAATTGAGGAAGCAAAGGAGGAGGAAAGCCTTGGCAAAATGGTTGAGACGATACCCTGGAATCCATGCCAAACACACACTCTGCCATCTGCAAAGAACTGGTGGGAACATATGCCTGCAAACACTGTTGATTCTGGTGGCCTTAAATCCCTATGAGAGTTTAAGGTGCAAACTGACGAGCCATAGAGCATAATGTGCCAGCGACAATGCTTCAGAAAGAGAAAATTTAGAGTAGCAATATGGTAAACCCAGAGGACAGGAGATCGGAAACAAAGGGTCCATCTACAGTGTAGAATTAATGCAGTTTGGGAAAGCAAGATCCTTGAGTACGTAAAAATCCATGAAACTAGGCACTTGAATCCATGAAATTAGACAGCAGGGAAATCTCATAGACAAATCTTGAGCTTGGCAAAAACTTGGTACACGAAACTCAGAGCACCTGAAAGCAAGACCATGATAAAATAAAAACGTTGACCTGAATGAGGCAACTCTCTCCCATTAATCATTATAAAGTTTTTTCAGATACGTATATTCTGTCCAAATTTGGTGTCAATTCATCCAGTTGTTTTTGCGTTACGTTAATCCCACAAATGAACATTACATTTTTATTGAAATAAATTTTGAAGGGCCTGCATTTGCATTTGCTTACATAATGAGATATCTTGGAGATGGGGCCCAAGTGTAAACATGAGAACCATGTACGTGTCACATACACAAAACCAGAAGGAACCTTTGGGCACAGTCATATAAATCATTTTGTGCGTGAAACAAACTTGAGCCATCCAAAAGCAAAGGTATCCTTATCTCAGCCACTCCTGTGCACAATCTTGGAGTATTTTGGAATTCCAGATAAGGGACAATCAACATTTATCAGTTTAAACAGTTTAATAATCTCAAATGCTTCTTTCCTATGCTTTTGTCCCATAAATGAAAGTCCTCAGAGGCTTAGGTCAGAAAGGTGCCCATCCAATTTCCTTAGTGGTTTGGTCATAATATCCTATGCAAGAGACCAGCAACCTCTCAAGCCACCATGAAACTCAGTGTAAGAGCAAAAACACCTCTGACTCAGTGCCAGGTAAGTAACTAAAACCTTTGCCAGGTTTCAAGGGTGGAAGATAAGAAACAGGAAGGAGGTAAACTCAGGCAGCTTGGAACTTTGCCTTCTGCAACCACAGCGGCATCTAAGGTCACTTCTGGTTTTAGTCAAAACTTGAAAGGAACTTTAACCTTACTCTCTAGCACCTCAAGGCTGGGTTTACACTGTCATATAATCCAGTTTGATGGCGTAGATCCATCTTGAGTAATGTTATGAATAACTTTCCCACACTGGAAAAGAATATCCCACTTCTGACACCAATTTGTCATGAATGACTTTTCAATAACCCTAAAGCATAGGTTCTTTTTATTGCAATTTCCAGTGTGAGAGGGTACATTGGATTACAGAACTTTTACACAAAGAATGGCATTAGACATACAGACATATAAATTCTATGCAACTACATTGGATTTACAATTACGTGGCTAACAAACAACAAAGAATTATATTTTCAATCACCATTCACACACATGTACACGCATTCATCCACATGCATCCAAATATTACCATATCCTTTTCTCCCTCCTTGGAGAAGCACCTGTTAGGCCAGACCCTGCTTTCCTGCAGCCTGCCAATGCATAGTTCCAAAACTTCCATAATGCCAAAACTTCAAAACGCATCCTTTCTCTAAGCACAACGCCAAGAACCAGATCTCTGTTTTCTATACAGCAGAACCTGATTCCTTTCACAAAATCCAAGACTCCAAAAGCGCGCTTCTTCCTCTTCCCTTGAGAAAGAAGGCCAAAGTGATCAGACTGCTCCCGTGCAAATCTGCCATTATCCATAGGTACACTGTTTCTCTCCTTCCCATGGAGCAGAGCATGGTGGGTGGAACAGACTCCTCAGGTCTGTCACAATTTGAGAATTATTAGATTGAGTATTTTATAGGAATGATAGAATTATTAGATTGAGTACTTTATAATGTCTTCCATCCTGGCTTCATCTCAGTTTCCTGGCCTCTTCTTGATTGGTGTTGACAAGCACAAGGCTTTTGTTTACTTCTTTCTTAACATAAGGAATGTTGCAAACATTTCTCTTCACTTGAAAGAACCATTGTCACAGTCCTTAACAGTCCTTAACAGAGTTTACTTTTCAGTTCTTATTAGCAACTTTCAATTACAGTCCAGAAAACAGGTTGTTAGTCATTGCAGGTCTTAATATTTTACTGGTGTTTCCAAAATTATTATCTCCATCCATACATCCTTCCATTCTTCCATTCATGCCCACACATCATATTAAATTCACATTTATCAAATCTGCGCATTGAATTTCTTATTACAGTAACTAATTTCAAATTCAGGTTAAAAACCATTGTCCCAAGGTGCATCTACACCAGGCATCAGCCGACTCATCCCCTATTTGAGTATCAGCCAGCACGTCAACGACTTAAATCAAGAAATAGTTTTCTAAGATCTACAGAGACACTCGCTGGAACACCTCAGCAAGCGAGAGTCCAAAAGTGGCAGGCTCAAACCCAGAACCAATCGCTGATACCAAATGAGAGACTCCCCCCTGGGCACACAGAGGACTGGGCGACTTGGAAGGCGCTGAACAGACTGCGCTCTGGCACCACGAGATGCAGAGCCAACCTCAAGAAATGGGGCCACAAAGTGGAATCCTCGACATGCGAGTGTGGAGAGGAGCAAACCACTGACCACCTGCTGCAATGCACCCTGAGCCCTGCCACATGCACAATGGAGGACCTTCTTGCGGCAACACCAGAAGCACTCCAAGTGGCCAGATACTGGTCAAAGGACATTTAATCAACTACCAAACTCACAAATTTTGTATTTTGTCTGTTTGTTTGCTTTGTTCTGTTAGAAATGTAATATAATCGACTGGTTGCACTGACACGATAAATAAACTTAAGCGGCTGAGGGGGGAAAGGAAAGGTCCAGAGGCTGTTAGGAATGGTGGGAGTTGAAGTCCAAAGCACCTGGAGGGAGGCACAAAGTGCCCTTTGACTGCTCTACAAGATCATCCCCACAAGAACCCAAGTTGGCCCGTGCCAGGGATAGAGTCTCAACCAGTTCAACTTAGTTTGTGGCAGACCCAAAAACAAACTTTCTGGAGTCGAACAACTACTTTCAAAGTAAAGACTGCACTTTGAAACAGGAAATTAGACTTTCAAACCAGGAACAGAGCCTTTCCAAAGCAGGAGAAAGAGAGCTGGTGCAACCAGAGTGCAATCCCTGCCGGGGAGGAGGAGCCAAGGGAGGGAAGGAAGGAAGGAAAGAAAGAGGGAGGAGAGAGAGAAAGAAGGGGGCTGTCCGACTGGTGCAATCCGCGTTGTGCTCCGCATCATCATCATCATCATCACCACCCTTTGGGCACAGGGTTACATCATCACCACCCCCGACGGCAGGAAGGAAAGAAGGATCCAGAGGCGCAAAGGCGCAGAGTCACAAATCTCGGATCTCTGGAAGATCATGGATCCTCGATGCTGTTGGTGTTGCTACTGCTGAGAGCCTGGGATCCCATCCATCCCTCGGGGAGGATCCCTTGCTCTCCTGCCTCGGGTTCAAGACCCTCCAGGCCAAAGCAGCAACAGAGGAAACCCAGCTGCAACCGGGTTTGCGCCCTTGGAAGGAAGCCATCCAACCAACCCAGGCGCAGCTGCTTGTGCGCCTTGCAAGAAACCAAACCAAACCCTGCTTCCTCTGGGCAAAGAAGGAAACCCTCTTTGAGAAGGGAAAGGAAAGGCTTAGAAAGGGCCAGGAAGAGAGAGAGAAGGGCCACTCCATTGAAGAAGCAGCTCAGGACACCCTTTGCAGGGCCTTTCCATCGGTGGCTCCTCATTCTCTCCAAAGGTAAGAGCAGAGGGATGGAGAGAAAGAGGGGTTGTGCGGGTCTTTGGGTTGCAAAGTAATTCGTTATCCTTGCCAAGCCTTTTGGGCTCTGGAGGGTCCCCTTAAGGTCATCTAGTCCAGCCCCTGAGTGCACGAATCCACAGAATAATAATAATAATAATAATAATAATAATAATAATAAACTTTATTAGTACCCCACCACCATCTCCCTCCTCCCTGTGGCTTCCTCTCACATATTTATACCTATCATATCTCCTCTCAGCCTTCTCTTCTTCGGGCTAAACATGCCCAGCTCCTTAAGCCGCTCCTCATAGGGCTTGTTCTCCAGACCCTTGATCATTTTAGTCTCCCTCCTCTGGACACATTCCAGTAGTAACATGTTTATTATGGTAAACATGTTATTACAATAAAAGTATAATAATAATAGTATTAATATTATTATTATCATCATTATTAAAGTATTATTATTATTTGTGTCAGGAGCAACTTGAGAAACTGCAAGTCGCTTCTGGTGTTAGAAGAATTGGCTGTCTGCAAGGATGTTGCCCAGGGGGCATCCAGATGCTTTACCATCCTGTGGGAGGCTTCTCTCATGTCCCCATATGGGAAGCTGGAGCTGACAAATGGGAGCTCCGTATTATTATTATTTGTGTCAGGAGCAACTTGAGAAACTGCAAGTTGCTTCTGGTGTTAGAAAAATTGGCTGTCTGCAAGGACGTTGCCCAGGGGGCATCCAGATGCTTTACCATCCTGTGGGAGGCTTCTCTTATGTCCCCGTATGGGAAGCTGGAGCTGACAAATGGGAGCTCACCCCTCTATTTGGATTTAAACTGCCAACCTTTCAGTCAGCAGTCATATCAGCACAAGGGTTTAACCCATTGCACCACTGTGGCTCTTATTATTATTATTATTATTATTATTATTATTATTATTATTATTATTACCAGTCTCTCTTTGCAGCCCCTTGGTAGGCAGAAAACACACCTCTGGAGCTGACCTTGCATTTCTTTTAATGCTTGGAGGACAGTCCTTCTTGCACAGCGTTGACTTTTCAGTGCTGGGTTTTTGCTTTCTATGAGAAACTGGTTCAGGCTTGCAGACTTCGCTTCTCTATCCAACTTGCCCACTTTTGTAGTTGTGAGCCTTCCAAATGGTTTCAGATTTACTATTCATATAATCATAGACTCAAAGAGTTGGAAGAGACCTCATGGGCCATCCAGTCCAACCCCATTCTGCCAAGAAGCAGGAATATTGCATTCAAAGCACCCCTGACAGATGGCCATCCAGCCCCTGTTTAAAAGCTTCCAAAGAAGGAGCCTCCACCACACTCCGGGGCAGAGAGTTCCACTGCTGAACGGCTCTCACAGTCAGGAAGTTCTTCCTCATGTTCAGATGGAATCTCCTCTCTTGTAGTTTGAAGCCATTGTTCCACATCCTAGTCTCCAAGGAAGCAGAAAACAAGCTTGCTCCCTCCTCCCTGTGGCTTCCTCTCACATATACATGGCTGTCATATCTCCTCTCAACCTTCTCTTCTTCAGGCTAAACATGCCCAGCTCCTTAAGCCGCTCCTCATAGGGCTTGTTCTCCAGACCCTTGATCATTTTAGTCACCCTCCTCTGGACACATTCCAGCTTGTCAATATCTCTCTTGAATTGTGGTGCCCAGAATTGGAGATGATGTGTGTTGGAATCCCAAGAACATATAACTTTCAGGAAGAGAAGCTGTTGTATTTTCCTGCCTGGCAGAAAGATGTTGGTTGGACTGGATGGCCTTTGGGGTCTCGCCCAACTCAGTGATTCTATATATGATTCCTAAACAGGCGTCAGTAGACTTGAGTAAGTTCAGGTGGATCATTCACCACTCAGAGCTGCATCACACCAATGACTCGCACATGAATGGGCCAACTTCCTCCATTGGCTAAAAAAACACCAGTTGTGGTTGGTGAGGTGAGGCGAGGTAACTTGGAAACTGTGCCAGGCGGGAGGTTGCATTATGCATGGAGAGCGGGGAGTGGCCACACGGGACCTGGCCGCATAGAACGAGCACACAATTTCAGGGCCTGATGCAATAGTTTGGAAAACCTGTTTCAACCGAGCCTCATTGAATTACTCTGCCTTATATGAGGGTTGAATGAAAAGTAATGCCTCCACCTTCGTAACTCCTCAACAGATGGCAGTACTGGTATGCAACAGGTACTGGCTTGTTCAGTAGACTCTCTTATACAGTTTCATTTTGCCCTTGCGCTTTGCTACTCTGCTCTTGAGTATGCATGCCCAGTGTGGAACACATCTCACCACGCTAAAACAGTGGATGTGGCTCTTAATGAAACATGCTGCATTATCACAGGGTGTCTGCGCCCTACACCACTGGAGAAATTACACTGTTTAGCCAGTATCGCACACCTGACATCCGCCGGGAAGTAGCAGCCAATAGTGAAAGGACCAAGGCAGAGACATCTCCAGCTCATCCCCTGTTTGGGTATCAGCCAGCACGTCAATGACTTAAATCAAGAAATAGTTTTAGTTTCCAATATACCCACAACCTCAGCTTTGGGTTGTTGTAGGTTTTTCAGGCTATATGGCCATGTTCTAGAAGCATTCCCTCCTGATGTTTCGCCTGCATCTATGGCAAGCATCCTCAGAGGTAGTGAGGTACCTCACAACCTCTGAGATGCCTGCCATAGATGCAGGCAAAACATCAGGAGAGAATGCTTCTGGAACATGACCATACAGCCTGGAAAACTGATAGCAATCCTGCTTTGTATCAGGCTAATTTAGTGGCATCGATGTGAATAAACACTCTGCATGCTCAGAAGCTCTTGTTGTGTAGATCAGTGTAGCTCAGGCATGTGCAAACACCAGGTGTTTCGGACTTCAGATCCCACAATTCCCGACAGCCAAAACACTTGGAGGGACAAAGTTTGCGCATGCCTGGTATAGATGCACCGCTTGTGGTTGAGAGAGTGTGACTTTCCAAAGGCGAGCTTTCAGTGGCTGATTGGAGATTTGAATTCTGGTCTCTGAGAGTCTGGCCTAACTCTGAAACTACTGCACTACATCATACTGTTTCTCCCCGTTTCGTGCCTCAGTGGTCACAACTATATCTGCAAGGAGCAGGATTGATTGCTCCGAGTTTGCATCATCCGCACTATTTGCACTGGTGGCAGGCGGTGAAAAAGTGATCGCAGAAGACTCCTCCTCTCTGGGCATTTTGGCCAGAGTTAGGAGCCAACTTGGGCACTTTCCGGATGTTTGTGGCCATTGATCTCCTTGGCAACCGAAGGAGGTCTTTGCCCACATATGGCACATGCTTCCCGTTGTTCACAGCCTGGGCAAACAATTGACTCAGCATTTGAAGCAGTGTCAACGGGTCAGCTGTGTGACTTGATTTGGGCGTCTATTCACATGTTGAGATCCTTTTCATATTTTCACAATTACGGATTGTTGATGCCACTTTAAAGGCTATGGAATTGGGAAATATTCAGGACAGGAAGTGTGACTTTTCCAAGACCACCCAATCTATTTCCATTGCCAAGCAGGGATTTCCACACTGGAGTCCTTGGGTGCATCTACACTATAGAGTTAATGCGGATTGATGACACTTTAATAGCATTGAATAACTTTTATTGTCATTGTAGATTGCACAATGAAATTAAATGCCATCTCCCCAAACATAGAGTTGGAAGAGACCTCATGGGCCATCCAGTCCAACCCCCTGCCAAGAAGCAGGGAAACCGCATTCAAAGCAGCCCTGACAGATGGCCATCCAGCCTCTGTTTCAAAGCTTCCAAAGAAGGAGCCTCCACCACACTCTGGGGCAGAGAGTTCCACTGCTGAACAGCTCTCACAGTTAGGAAGTTCTTTCTAATGTTCAGATGGAATCTCCTTTTATATATATAGAATCACATTATATATATATGTAGAATTACAAAATAAAACATGCATCCTTCCAACTGTTGTGACTTAATGCTATGGGATCCTGGGATTTGTAGTTGGGCGAGGCACCAGCAGCACTCTTTGGCAAAGAGGGCTTAGACCAGTGGTTCTCAACCTGGGGTCCCCAGATGTTTTTGGCCTTCAACTCCCAGAAATCCTAACAGCTGGCAAACTGACTGGGATTTCTGGGAGTTGTAGGCCAAAAACATCTGGGGACCCCAGGTTGAGAACCACTGTCTTAGACCTTGTGAAACTACAGCTTCCACAATCTCAAAGCATTGAGCCATAGCAGTTAAAAGTGGAGTCAAACTACATTAATTCTATGGTGCAGATCAGCATTTCTCAACCTGGAGGTCAGGACCCCTGGCCGGGGGTTGCAAGGAGGTGTCAGAGGGGTTGCCAAAGACCATCAGTATTTTCTATTGGTCATGGGGGTGTTGTGTGGGAAGCTTGGCCCAATTCTATCGTTGGTAGGGTTCAGAATACTCTTTGAATGTGGGTGAACTATAAATCCCAGCATCTACAACCCCCAAATATCAAAGTCTGTTTCTCTCCAAACTCCACCAGTATTCACATTTGGGCATATTCAATATTCGTGCCAAGTTTGGTCCAGATCCATCATTGTTTGAGTCCACAGTGCTCTCTGGATGGAGCTGAACTACAACTCCCAAACTCGAGGTCAATGCCCAACAAACCCTTCCAGTATTTTCTTTTGGTCGTGGGCATTCTGTGTACCAAGCTTGGTTCAATTCCATCATTGATGGAGTTCAGAATGCCCTTTGATTGTAGGTGAACTATAAATACCAGCAACTACAACTCTCAAATGACAAAACCAGTCCCCCAACCCTACCAGTATTTGAATTTGGGCATATTGGGTATTTGTGCCAAATTTGGTCCAATGAATGAAAATACATCCTGCATATCAGATATTTACATTATGATTCATAACAGTAGCAATATCATAATTATGAAGTAGCAACGAAAATAATTTAGTGGTGTGGGGTCACCATAACATGAGGAACTGTATTAAGGGGTCACAGCATTAGGAAGGTTGAGAACCACTGGCTTAGACCTTGTGAAACTACAGCTTCCACGATCCCAAAGCATTGAGCCATAGCAATTAAAAGTGGACTCAAATTGTGTTAATTCTATATATAGTGTATATGAACTCTTGGACTCTTGGTTCAAATTCTCACTTGGCCACAGATAATTCACTGGGCAAGTCACACACTCTCAGCCTCCTTTGGACAAATCTTGCCAGGAAACAAACTTAAGGGCCATCCAGTTGTGCTCCCTGCTTTGTGCTTTGGCATGTTGTGATACTTTGTGCTTTTTCTCTCCTCCTAGATGAGTCTGCTCACTCAGGAGCCCCATATTGTGGCCGCACTGCGGAAGAAACGGCTGGACATTGAGGATACGACGTCCACAGCGGAGAATCCCCAGCCCAAGCGCCGATGTCTCGATCCGGTGGAGGGACGAACCCCTTGCCTCCAGCCCTTGGCTTGCTCCCCACCTGCCCAGGATCAGGACCCGAGGGTCTCCCAGATTGGCCCCTACGTCCTTTTGGAGCCCACCGAAGGGGGACGTTGCTTCCGGGCAGTGAATAGGCAGACCGAGGCAGAATACACCTGCAAGGTAGGAAGCCCCATCAAAGAGGGCCCTTTGTCTCACCTACTTCCCTTCCGCCATGCAGGAAGACACCATCCAAGCCCTCCTAACAGATGGCCATCTAGCATCTGCTTCAAAGTCTCCAGAGAAGGAAACTCCAAGGAAGCATATTACACGGTTGAGCTGCTCTTATAATCAGGAAGGAGCCGTGGCGGTGCAATGGGTGGCACAATGGGTGAAGTGTGCCAGCTGAACTGCTGACCTGAAGGTCAGCGGTTCAAATCCATGAGATGGGGTGAACTCCCATGTGCCAGCTGATCTGCTGACCTGAAGGTTGGCGGTTCAAATCCACGAGATGGGGTGAGCTCACATGGGTAAAACCTTGTGCTGGCTGAATTGCTGACCTGAAGGTCGGCGGTTCAAATCCACGAGATGGAGTGAGCTCCCATGGGTTAAACCCTTGTGCTGGCTGATATACTGACCTGAAGGTTAGCAGTTCAAATCCACAAGATGGGGTGAGCTCCCATGGATTAAACCCTTGTGCTGGCTGAACTGCTGACCTGAAGGTCAATGGTTCAAATCCACGAGATGGGGTGAGCTCCCATGGGTTAAACCCTTGTGCTGGCTGATATACTGACCTGAAGGTCAGCAGTTCAAATCCACAAGATGGGGTGAGCTCCCATGGATTAAACCCTTGTGCTGGCTGAACTGCTGACCTGAAGGTTGGCGGTTCAACTCCACAAGATGGGGTGAGCTTCCATGGGTTAAACCCTTGTGCCGGCTGATCTGCTGACCTGAAGGTCGGCGGTTCAAATCAATGAGATGGGGTGAGCTCCCATGGGTTAAACCTTGTGCCGGCTGAACTGCTGACCTGAAGGTCGGCGGTTCAAATCCACGAGATGGGTTAAACCCTTATGCCGGCTGAACTGCTGATATGAAGGTTGGTGATTCGAATTTGTGAGATGGGTGAGCTCCCATCTGTCAGCTCCAGCTTCTGATGTGGGGACATGAGAGAAGCCTCCCACAGGATGGTAAAACATCCAGGCGTCCCCTGGGCAACGTCCTTGCAGAGGGCCAGTTCTCTCACATCAGAAGCGACTTGCAGTTTCTCAAGTAGCTTCTGACATGGAAAAAAAATCATCAGGAATGTTTCCCTATTGTTAAGGTGGAATCTATTTTCCTGCTTGAACCCATGGCCTCATTGTGTCTTAGTCTCCATAACAGGGGAAAACAAACTTGGCACCACCTTTCAAGTATTTAAGGGTATTAACCACGAAAATAAAGAAATATGTCAATATAGCTTTGTAGCAGCAAGAGTAGTTATAGCAAAATCTTGGAAGGGAGATAAAGAATTGCTCATGAGATTGGAGAACACAATAAATAGATTACATTCAAACTGCCATGCTGTCTAATGGACGTCGAGGTAAAAGTCATGAAGAGTTTGCAAACAAATGGTGGCTGGCCTTTGTATGTCTTGGAAAGAAGGCAAAAGCTGGCTTTACCGATGCCACGAGGGGAACTACGAGGATTGAATGAAAAGTAATGCCTCCGCCTTCATTACTTGAGTTTGGATGGGAATATTTTAATAAATCAAACGCAGAAATAATCCTTAGAATGAGCTCTTTTACTACCACTATTCACTTTTCGACATAACCACCAGTCAATTGGATACATTTCTGCCAACGGTGAACAAGTTTTCTGAAGCTGTCACGGAAGGAGTCGACACTCTGTTTTTGCAACCCATCATGCACAGATCTTCCAATAGCCAAGCAAAGCAATAATGTGGCCCGCACGTTCTTGTGAAGTCCCAGTTATGCTTGAAATTTCTCTCTGAATGATACGACGATCGTCCTGAATCAACCTTTTGCTTGTGAAACCTGGTGGTTGCTGTCACAGGATGTCCAACTCTTTGTTTGTCACACAAGTCAGATGTTCCCACCTCAACATCTTTAAACTTTCTCTCCCAATGATGCACAGTACTCACATCAACACAATCACCATGAACAGCTTGCATTCTCTGATGAATCTCCTTTGGGGTGACACCTTCTGCTGTCAAGAATTCAATGACTGTTGTTGTTCATTCGTTCAGTCGTCTCCGACTCTTTGTGACCTCATGGACCCGCCCACGCCAGAGCTCCCTGTCGGCCGTCACCACCCCCAGCTCCTTCAAGGTCAGTCCAGTCACTTCAAGGATGCCATCCATCCATCTTGCCCTTGGTCGGCCCCTCTTCCTTTTGCCTTCCACTTTCCCTAGCATAATTGTCTTCTCTAGGCTTTGCTGTCTCCTCATGATGTGGCCAAAGTACTTCAACTTTGTCTCTAGTATCCTTCCCTCCAGTGATTAGTCGGGCTTTCTTTCCTGGAGGATGACTGGTTGGATCTTCTTGCAGTCCAAGGCACTCTCAGAACTTTCCTCCAACACCACAGCTCAAAAGCATCGATCTTCCTTCGCTCAGCCTTCCCTAAGGTCCAGCTCTCACATCCGTAGGTTACTACAGGGAATACCATGGCTTTGACTAGGCAATGGATCTTGGTTGCCAGTCTGATGTCTCTACTCTTCACTATTTTATCGAGACTGGACATTGCTCTCCTCCCAAGAAGGAAGCGTCTTCTGATTTCCTGGCCACAGTCTGCATCTGCAGTAATCTTTGCACCTAGAAATACAAAGTCTGTCACGGCCTCCACGGTTTCTCCTTCTATTTTCCAGTTGTCAATCATTCTTGTTGCCATAATCTTGGTTTTTTTGACGTTTAGCTGCAACCCGGCTTTTGCGCTTTCTTCTTTCACCTTGATTAGAAGGCTCCTCAGCTCCTCCTCACTTTCGGCCATCAGAGTGGTGTCATCTGCATATCTAAGGTTGTTAATGTTTCTTCCAGCAATTTTCACCCCAGCCTTGCATTCCTCAAGCCCTGCACATCGCATGATGTGTTCTGCATACACGTTAAAAAGGTTGGGTGAGAGTATGCAGCCTTGCCGTACGCCTTTCCCAATCTTGAACCAGTCTGTTGTTCCGTGGTCAGTTCTGACTGTTGCTACTTGGTCCTTGTACAGATTCCTCAGAGAGAGACAAGGTGGCTTGGTATGCCCATCCCACCAAGAACTTGCCACAATTTATTATGATCCACACAGTCAAAGGCTTTTAATAGTCAATGAAGCAGAAGTAGATGTTTTTCTGAAACTCCCTGCCTTTCTCCATTATCCAGCGGATATTGGCAATCTGGTCTCTGGTTCCTCTGCCTTTTCTAAACCCAGCTTGAACATCTGGCAACTCTCGCTCCTTGAATTCAATGACTGCACATTGCTTAAGTAGGATTGACCGACTGTCTGCTTAGAGTTCCATACTTCACACTTTAACAACACAACCATTCAATGCTAAGACTTCCTGCCAAAATGGAACTGTAGAGGAGAGTCTACTGAACAAGCCAGTACCTGCCGCATACCAGTACTGCCATCTGTTGAGGAGTTACGAAGGTGGAGGCATTACTTTCACTTTAACAACACAACCGTTCAATGCTAAGGCTTCCTGCCAAAATGGAACTGTAGAGGAGAGTCTACTGAACAAGTCAGTACCTGCTGCATACCAGTACTGCCATCTGTTGAGGTGTTATGAAAATGGAGGCATTACTTTTCATTCAGCTTGCGTATTTAGGGAACTTATAGGGGTGGGTATTATAAGGTACAGATGTCATAACAAGTAGGGATGGAAGTAAAAAGCTTCGTAAAACTACTATGATTCCATAGCATGGTGGTTAAAGTGCTATCAAACCGCATTCATTCTACAGTGTAAATGTGCCCCTACTCCAATGCTGAAAGCATTACCCCACACTGCTGCAAATCTCTGGCTTTTCATGGTAGTCAACACTTGTGCAGCTTCCAAGCATGGCGTTATGCTGCCACCTGCAGGCTGAACATGGAATGGCATGCTTCTCTTAAACCAAGGTGCATCAAGGTGTATACTTCATTTGCATTTTATTTCACACGTCAGTTTATTGTTTATTGAGATGTTCCACACATCTCTTTGTACCAATCATCAATTTCCTAATTGTAATTTTCTTTCCATTTTTGGACTATAACCGATCTTAAAACAGTAACAAAAAATACTATTAATTTTTTCTTTTGCCATTTCAATCTTATGTCATCAAAATTGGATAGAAGTGCTGTATTTGGATTATTTTTCTGTAGATTAATCAATAGTATGTCATTAATTTTATCAAACAGCCATCCCCCCTCCCCACCATGAGTCTATGCTGTCATCTCCTAAGGTAAATGTCATGTCCAACTCTGGGGGCTGATGCTCATCTCCATTTCTAAGCCGAAGAACTGGCATTGTCCGTAGACGCCTCCAAGGTCATGTTGCCTGCATGACTGAATAGAGTGCCATTACCTTCCCTCTGAAGTAGTACCTATTGATCTACTTACATTTGCATGTTCTCAAAATACTGTGTTGGCAGAAGCTGGAGCTAACAGTGGGAGCTCACCCCGCACCCTGGATTTGAACCGCCAACCTTTTGGTCAGCAAGTTCAGTAGCTCAGTGGTTTAATCCACTACGCCACCGGGGGGCCCCTTGTGCCGGTAGGACTGAAGACTGACAGGTCGCAGGTTCAAATCCGGGGAGAGTGCGGATGAGCTCCCTCTGTCAACTCCAGCTCCCCATGCTGGTACATGAGAGAAGCCTCCCACAAGGATGGCAAAACACCAAAACATCTGGGCATCCCCTGGGCAACGTCCTTGCAAACAGCCAATTTCTCTCACACCAGAAGCGACTTGTAGTTTCTCAAGTTGTTGCTGATACAAAAGAACAACAACAGCAACAAACAGGGGGCCAACTCCTACAATGGCATATTAGTATTGACCAACAATAGCTACTAGACTCTCCAGGATGGGTGACGCCTGGTTCGACAACAGTCGACATGAGAAAGATCTTGGAGTCTTTGTAAACAACAAGTTGAACATGAGCCAGGAGTGTGATGCTGCAGCGCAAAAAGCCAATGGAGTTTTGGGCTACGTCAAAAGGAATCAAGTGTCTAGATCAAGGGAAGTCACGGTGTGGTTGTATTCTGCTTTGGTTAGACCTCACCTGGAATACTGTGTCCAGTTCCGGGAACCACAGTTCAAAAGAGATATTGACTCTAAGCTGGAAGGTGTCCAGAGGAGGGCAACTAAAATGATCAAATGTCTGGAGACCATGAATCCCTCTGAGGAGCGTCTTAAAGAACTGGGCATGTTTAGTTTGCAGAAGAGAAGGTGGAGAGGAGACGTGAGAGCCATGTATAAATAAGTGAGAGGATGTCATAAGAAAGAGGGAGCAGTCTTGCTTTTTGCTGCCCTGGAAACTAGGACTTGGAGCAATGGGTTCAACTTGCAGGAAAGGAGATCCCACCTGAACATTAGGAAGAACTTCTTGACTGTATGAGCTGTTCAGTAGTGGAACTCTCTACCTCGGAGTGTGATGGAAACTCCTTCCTTAGAAACTTTTAAACAGAGGTTGGATGGCCATCAGTCAAGGATACTTTGATTGTGCTTTTCCTGCATGGCAGTGGGTTGGACTAGATGGCCCATGGGGTCCCTTCCAACTCTATTATTCTATGATCAGTGCTTGGACCAGAGTTTCCAGTTTTTGTGGTGTCAGTCTCTCAAAGTCTGCAATGTGCTAGCTCAGCCAAAAAGTCAGGGATCATTGGCATATAATGTAAAGCCTACATTTTCCCTCTTTTTAAAACACTATAGGTTTATCCATCCAAGAGCTACCGAGAGGTGATGGCACCTTACGGCCTCCTCCCTCCGCATCCGAACATCGCTCGCCTGGCTGAGGTGATCATTGGGGAGGAAAATGCCTACCTCTTCTTCGAGGCAGGAAGGGACGACATGCACAACTATGTGCGGCGTTGCAAGCGCCTTCCAGAGGACGAGGGAGCGGCCCTTTTCCGGCAAATGGTGGAAGCGGTCTCCCATTGCCACCAGCACGGCATCGTCTTGCGGGACCTCAAGCTGAGGAAGTTTGTCTTTGCTGACCAGGAAAGGTGAGAACACCAGATGTTTCCAATCTGGTGTTGCTTGTACACACACATTCTGATCTTGGGGATTCCTCATCTTCGGAAGAGGAAGGGGAAGATCTTGGAGTCTCGTAAGTTAACATGAGACAGAATGTGATGTGGCGGCAAAAAAAAGCCAATGGGATTTTGGCCTGCATCAATAGGAGCCTAGTGTCTAGATCTAGGGAAGTCATGCTACCCCTCTATTCCGCCTTGGTTAGACCACACCTGGAATATTGTGTCCAATTCTGGGCACCACAATTCAAGAGAGATATTGACAAGCTGGAATGTGTCCAGAGACGGGCGACTAAAATGATCAAGGGTCTGGAGAACAAGCCCTATGAGGAGCGGCTTAAGGATCTCGGCATGTTTAGCCTGAAGAACAGAAGGATGAGAGGAGATATGATAGCCATGTATAAATATGTGAGAGGAAGCCACAGGGAGGAGGAGGGAGCAAGCTTTTTTTCTGCTTTCCTGGAAACTAGGATGCGAAACAATGGCTTCAAACTACAAGAAAGGAGATTCCATCTGAACATGAGGAAGAACTTCCTGACTGTGAGAGCCGTTCAGCAGTGGAACTCTCTGCCCCGGAGTGTGGTGGAGGCTCCTTCTTTGGAAGCTTTTAAACAGAGGCTGGATGCCATCTGTCAGGGGTGATTTGAATGCAATATTCCTGCTTCTTGGCAGGGGGTTGGACTGGATGGCCCATGAGGTCTCTTCCAACTCTTTGATTCTATGATTGTATGAGTGTGGAGGAGTGGGTGTGTTGTTTTGTGATGTGTGCTGGGGAATACTATTAATTTCGTTATACAATGTACAATGACAATAAGGCTATTCTGTTTGCTTTTCTACAGTTTCAGGACTCATCCCAGATCTGTGTCTCATTAGGGATTGAGAGATCTTTGAATGATTGCCAATCCTCTGTCTTATCATCTTGTTTCCTTTGTTTACATAGGTCCAGATTGCTGCTAGAGAACTTGGAAGACTCCTACGTGCTGAATGGCCCTGACGACTCCTTGGAGGACAAGCACGGCTGCCCGGCTTACGTGGGGCCCGAGATCCTCACCTCGAGGGGCTCCTATTCGGGGAAGGCGGCCGACGTGTGGAGCCTGGGGGTGGCACTGTACACCCTCCTGGTGGGATGCTATCCTTTCCAAGGCACCAAACCAGCCTCCTTGTTCGGCAAGATCCGCCGCGGACACTTTGCTGTCCCTGAGGACCTGTCGCCCAAAGCTCGGTGCCTCATTCGGTGCCTCCTTCGGAAAAACCCAGCAGAGAGACTGACCGCCAAGGAGATATTGCTGCATCCATGGCTGGCCACGGTGGGCACCTCTGGGAGCTCACGAAGTAACACTGGCGAGGAGCAGGTAGTGCCCGAAATAGGGCGCGTACAGAGAGCTGAAGCCAAAGAAGAACCAGAGGAAGGTCTGTACAGCTGAGTTGGGCAACGTGGCCAAACTCGGACTGTGTCTTGACCTAACTTCTTCTATGTGGTTCCATCAAATTTTCAGTTCCACTGGACTGTTTCCAAATGTGCCTTTGAAATGGGAAAGAGGTTCTCATTTGCCAGCAGGTGCTTTTGTGTCTAAATCAGGGAAGAAGGGAATCAGAGTCCCCTTTGTAGGAGCTCAGCACTGTCCTCCTTCGCCTGCACCAAAGAACCATTTCTGAACTCTTAGCCAGTGCAATCTCTTGCTTTCAGAAAGAGGAGCTCTTCTATACTTTGGACCAGTTCAGCTCTTAAGTTGGAAAGCCAAGCTCCAAAGTGCAGACTGTGGAAGGGTCAAAAACAGGGCTGGAGGAGAATTCACCTGGGATTTCCTGGAAAGAAAGTTCTAGGTTGCAAAGGTTGGGTTGCATAAAGAGCCCTTCCATGCCCAAAGGCTGGATGTTATCATCGTTGATTTCAGATGAAGACTTTTGAGTAAATCTTGGTTGGGGCTTTTTGATCGGGTGGTGCTCAAGAGGGACCTCTGCTCCCTCCTGCCTTGAGTACATTGTAGTTTTTCTTTGTGCCAAATGGAAAGGGTTGCACTCCTTCTTGGACTGAGACTGTGTTAGTGAAGAGAAAAGAAATATTCCAGGCTACCATTTCCCTTATTGTTGTGTGCCTCCAAGTCATTTCCAACTACCGTTGACTATCACAAGGGTTTCTTAGCCAGATTTGTCCCTTTGTGCCTTCCTTTGAGAACGAGAGAGTGCAACTTGCCCAAAGGCACTTAGTGGGTTTCAAAATTTCCCATCACTGAGAAAGGATTTGAATCCTTGGAATGGGTCCAGAGGAGGGTGACTAAAATGATCAAGGGTCTGGAGAACAAGCCCTATGAGGAGCGGCTTAAAGAGCTGGGCATGTTTAGCCTGAAGAAGAGAAGGCTGAGAGGAGATATGATAGCCATGTATAAATATGTGAAAGGAAGTCATTTGGCCCTTGGTAACCACTGAGGTTTGGTCCCAGGGACCTCCATGGATCTTAAAATCCATGGATGCTGAAGGCTCATTATATAGACTGACATATTAAAATGGTGTCTCTTATATAAAATGACAAATCAAAGTTTGCTTTTGGGAATTCCAAGTAAAAGATCTGTATTAACAAGGGCACCAAAGTTGGCATTTTGTTTAAAAAAATCCAAACTGAAAAAGAGTCTGGTTTTCAAGTCCTTAGAGAGGAAATGCAGCAATTGGGCAAATCCAACCCATTTTAATGTATTGCTGCTCCCAAAATAAAGGGAACAGAGTGAGTCATCAGGTTACCAATAACCTTGACTGTAGAATCTGTTCACAGTTGGCTGACACTGTTCGGAGGCTTGGATGCATTTCAGAAAGAGAGAATTTCTGAATCCTGGATGAGGGATACTCAGCGTATTTTACATCCTATTTACCTTTTTCAAAGTCAAAATCCGAACTGAAAGAGATCAACAAGTTCTCAGACTTGAGGTGCAACAAGTGGCCAAATCCCACCCATTTTAATTTATTGCTCCTGCCTGTAAAATCGGATTATCTGTTTTCCCCACACGCCGTTTCTTCCTGAGCTCCCATAATATTCTAGAACAACACTAACCTCAAAGTCCAAAGCATTTCCTTCTCTTCCCATGTCCTCTGCAGTCTTTCATTGACTGGTTTTTGCTGCTGATTTCAGGCATGATGGCCAATATGAAGGAGTGCAAGGAAGAGGCAATGGTTGGTTTGTGGGGAAGCAAATGATTCTTGGATTGCTGTCCCTGTCAAGCCTCTCTGCAGTGGCCCAGCAGGGTGTATCTGTATTTTTGAATTAATGCAGTTTCACCCCACTTTAACTGCCATAGCCAGTGCTGCGGAATCATGGGAGCTGTAGTTTCCCAGAAAGTGTTTGAGGACTGGGACATTCGTAGGGAGACCAAGGTGCTTGTTTATAAAGCTATTGTCCTCCCAACCCTGCTATACAACTGTGAGACGTGGACTGTCTACAGACATGACATGCAACTCCTGGAACGATTCCATCAGTGCTGCCTCTGAAAAATCCTGCAAATCTCTTGGGAAGACAAGCAGATTTCTCAGAGAGTGTTTGAGGACTGGGACATCCGTAGGGAGACCAAGGTGCTTGTTTATAAAGCTATTGCCCTCCCAACCCTGCTCTACGCCTGCGAGACGTGGACTGTCTACAGACATCACATGCAACTCCTGGAACGATTCCATCAGCGCTGCCTCTGAAAAATCCTGCAAATCTCTTGGGAAGACAGGCAGACAAATGTCAGCATGCTGGAAGAAGCAAAGACCACCAGCATTGAAGCAATGGTCCTCCGCCATCAACTCCACTGGGCCGGCCATGTTGTCCAGATGCCCAACCACCGTCTCCCAAAGCAGTTTCTCTAATCCGAACTCAAGAATGGAAAACTGAATGTTGGTGGACAGGGAAAGAAATTCAAAGATGGGCTCAATGCCAATCTTTAAAACTCTGGCATAGACACTGAGAACTGGGAAGCCCTGGCACTTGAGTGCTCCAGCTGGAGGTCAGCTGTGACCAGCAGTGATGTAGAATTTGAAGAGGCACAAATGGAGGGCGAAAGGGAGAAATGTGCCAACAGGAAGGTGCATCAAGCCAACCCTGACTGGGACAGCCTTCCATTTGTAAATTAATGCCCTCACTGCGGGAGAACATGTGGGTCAAGAACAGGGCTCCACAATCACCTACGGACCCACCACCAGGACACCGATCTTGGAAGACTAACAGTTTCCCAAGCTCTGCCCTATTGCCTCAGTAAATATGTAGCAAACCTGTGTGCCTTTTCAGATTTGACCAAACAGAGACCTTGATTTCCTTTTTTTAATGAATTGAGTTTGATTATGGTTGGAAAATAAATCAGGACTTTGTGTTGACTTGCACTTCGTGTCTCATTATCATGACTTGCAGTAACTTGGAACTCTCTCTCTCTGACAAAAGCACAGCTCGCATCTTGCACAGCCTCCCTGCAAGGCTGGACATCCATGAAACTCTCTTCGGCTGACTCCAAACGCATGATCAATCAGTCTTTGTGTTTGTATGTCTTTGCTCATTGCAGGGGTGGGAGTTGTAACACCTCCCAATGCTTTTGGAGGACAACTCTCAGCAGCTTTAGCCAGCATAGTCAAAGGTGAGGAACGCTAAGAGTTGCAATCCAGTATCTGGAAAGGTTGTATAAGTCCTTATTTTGCACTTCTTTTAATCTGCTGCCTCACAATTTGGGGACTCTTGCTCGCTACTAGACTCTCGACTTGGGTAGATAGTATTTAGAAGGCTCTCTCTCTCTCACTGCAAGGTATCCTTCATTATTTCCTGCTTTTGGTGGGGAAGGAGTCACTCCATAAGACAGTGTTTCTCAACGTAGTGTCAGGAGCCCTGGGGGCTGTCAAAGGGGTCACCAAGGACCATCAGAAAACACAGTATTCTGATGGTCCTCACACCTCTGAGGATGCTTGCCATAGATGCAGGCGAAACGTCAGGAGAAATGCCTCTAGAGAATGGCTCTATAGCCCGAAAAAACCCACAAGAACCTAGTGATTCCAGCCATGAAAGCCTTCGACAATAAAAATATTTCTGTTGGTCATGGGGGTTCTGTGTGGGAAGTTTGCCCCAATTCTGTCGTTGGTGGGGTTCAGAATGCTCTTTGATTGTAGGTGAACTATAAATCCCAGTAACTACAACTCCCAAATGTCAAGGTCTATTTCCCCAAACTCCACCTGTGTTCATATTTGGGCATTGAGTATCTGTGCCAAGTTTGGTCCAGGTCCATCATGGTTTGAGTCCACAGTGCTCCTGGTGAAGGTGAACTACAACTTCCCAAAACTCAAGGTCAATGCCCCAAACCAGTATTTTCTGTTGGTCATGGGAGTTCTGTGTGCCAAGTTGGTTCAATTCCATTGGTGGAGTTCAGAATGCTCTTTGATTGATAGGTGAACTATAAATCCCAGCAACTACAACTCCCAAATGTCAATCTATTTCCCCCAAACTTCCACAGTGTTCACATTGGCATATTATTTTTGCCAAGTTTGGTACAGACCCATCATGGTTTGAGCCCACAGTGCTCTCTGGATGTAGCTGAACTACAACTCCCAAACTGGTCAACGCCCACTGAACCCCATCCTCTCATTCTCCCACCAATCCTCCCATCCCAACCCCACCAGTATTCAAATTTGAGGGCATATTGAGTATTTGTGCCAAATTTGGTCCAGTGAATCAAAATACATCCTGCATATCAGATATTTACATAACGATTCATAACAGTAACAATATTACAATTATGAAGTAGCAATGAAAATAATTTAATGGCTGGTGGTCACCACAACATGAGGAACTGTATTAAGGGGTCGCGGCATTAGGAACGTTGAGAACCACTGCTCTAGAGTCTTACAAAGAGGCCTTTCCTGTCTCTTGCTATATAATAATACAGCGGGATTGAAGAGAAACAACTGAAAGCCATGAAGGCCTTCGACAATACATCTGCTGAGATTTGGTTCCAGGATGCCACTGTGTGTGCCAAAATCTGTGGATGCTCAAGACCAATTATATCGATGGATTTAGGTTCCTTCTACACTGCCAATAAAATCCAGATTGTCTGCTTTGAACTGGATTATATGGCAGGGTAGACTCATAATCCAGTTGTGGATTATTCACTTCGATAATCTGGATTATATGGCACTGTAAAAAGGGCCTAAATGGCCAAAGAGATGTTGGTTGTCAGATGCTCCGGCTGGAAATCCAGTGAGTAGCCCAATCCTCCGGATTTTAATGTATTGCAGCTTCCAAACCACGTAAGGGGAATGGAGTGAGTCATGAGGTTATTGATACCCTTGTCGGTAGATTTGGATCACAGCTGGCTGTCACTGTTGGGAAGCTTGGATGAATTGCAGAGACAGAAAATGTGCAAATTCTGACATTCAGTCAGTCTGACATGGCACTAGACAGTTGGAAGCGAGGAGAGGCAGCAAGAAAGGTCATGGATGCTGTTTATGGGAGCAGCAAAAGACATGACCGAAGGGGCTGGGAATGACCCATTTCAGAGACCCCAAATGCTACTTATGCTGGGTTGTTGTAGGGCTTTTCAGGCTATATGGCCATGGTCTAGAGGCATTATCTCCTGACGTTTCGCCTGCATCTCACAACCACCATGTCAGACTAGACAGAGAAGCCATTGAAATTGTCCACAAGCATGTGGACAATTTCAACAGAAAGGAGGAAACCATGAAAATGAACAAAATCTGGCTACCAGTATTAAAAAACTCTAAAATTGCAACAGCACAACAACAGAGAGGAAACAAACAAGGACATCTAATCACCTCTCAAGAAAAGATTGCTCCAGGCACTGCCAGGCAATCAAATGCTAATCAAGGTGGTCAGTTGAAACATTCACACCTAGCTCCAGCAGACAAGAGTCCTTTGTCCTACCCTGGTCATTCCACAGATATATAAACCCTTTTTCCTAGTTCCAACAGATCTCACTACCTCTGAGGATGCTTGCCATTGATGCAGGCGAAACGTCAGGAGAGAATGCCTCTAGAACATGGCCATATAGCCCGAAAAACCCTACAACAACCCAGTGATTCCGGCCATGAAAGCCTTCGATGCTACTTATGCTGTTCAGAAGCTTCAAATGATCTGCTTAAGCAGCTGAGGGGGGAAAGGAAGGGGTCTGAGGCTGTAAGGAATGGTGGGACTTGAAGTCCAAAACACCTGGAAGATTCACCATTGTCCATAGACACCTCCAAAGTCATGTGGTCAGCATGACTGCATGGAGCGCCCTTACCTGCCTGCTGAAGCGATACCTATTGATCTACTCATTTCACATGTTTACGAACTGCTAGGTTGGCAGAAGCTGAGGCTAACAGCAGGAGCTCACGCTGTTCCCTGGATTTGAACCACTGAATTTTTGGTCAGCAAGTTCAGCAGCTTGGTGGTTTAACCAGGAGCACTGTGGTTTGTAAATGACCCCAAATTGGGAGGGAGAGACCATACCCCAGATGAAAGGGTCACGGTCGAAAAGACCATGAATCCCTATGAGGAGCGGCTTAAAGACCTGGGTCCGTTTAGCCTCCAGTAGAGAAGGCTGAGAGGAGACATGAGAGCCATGTATAAATATGGGTGTCACAAGGCAGACCATGAATACCTATGAGGAGTGGCTCAAAGACCTTGGTCTGTTTAGTCTCCAGGAGAGAAGACTGAGAGGAGACCATGTATAAATATGGGAAAGGGTGTCAAAAGGAAGAGGGAGTGGGCTTGTTTCCTGCTGCCCTGGAGACTCAATGGAGCCATGGGTTCAAACTGCAGGAAAGGAGATTCCACCTGAAGAAGAGGAAGAACGTCCTGACTGTAAGAAGAGGTGTTCAGTGGTGGAACTCTCTGACTCAGAGTCCCCTGGAAGCTCTTTCTTTGGAGGGGTTTAAACAGAGGCTGGATGGCCATCTGTCAAAGGCACTTTTATTGTGCTTTTCCTGCATGGCACGCCTCCTCTTCCATCCTCAGGATGAGGAAGAACTTCTTGATTGTTCAGTGGTGGAACTCTCTGCCTCAGTGGCCTGGAAGCTCTTTCTTTGGAGGGTTTTAAACAGAGGCTGTATGGCCATCTGTCAGAGGCACTTTGATTGTGCTTTTTCTGCTTGGCACACCTTCTCTTCTATCCTCAAAATGTGGAAGACCTTCCTGACTGTAAGGAGAGATGTTCAGCGGTGGAACTCTCTGCCTCAGTGGCCAGGAAGCTCTTTCTTTGGAGTGTTTTAAACAGAGGCTGGATGGCCATCTGTCAGGGAACTTTGATTGTGCTTTTCCTGCATGGCACGCCTTCTTTTCCATCCTCAGAAGAACGTCTTGACTGTTCAGCGGTGGAACTCTCTGCCTCAGGGTCCCCTGTAAGCTCTTTCTTTGGAAGGTTTTAAACAGAGGCTTCCAGGAGGAAGAAAGAGGAGACTTTGGACAGACAGGCTGTTAGGAATTGTGGGAGTTGAAGTCCAAAACACCTGGAGGGAGGGCCCAAGTTGCCTGGTCAGCCAGACAGTGACGTCACGGCGGGAATTCCCTGGCCCCGCCCCCCCAGGGGATGTCCCCGCCCTCCTCCTCCTCCTCCTCCTCCTCCTCTTTCCTCCTCCTCCTCCTTCGCTTTCGCTTTCTCCTCCGGATGGGTGGAAGTGGGCGCCCAGGAAAGGATCGATGCACCCGCAGAGAGGGCCAGACCTTTCCTCTCTTCTTTTCAACTTCTCCGACCCAGCCTTGGCTCCATTCAGCCCCGATCCGGCTCCATTCGAGGGTTGTCCGGTCCGGGTTTTGCTCCCAACTTGGGACGGAGACTTGACTGACCCCAGATCGGCAGGTGGGTGCCTGCGAGGAGGCGGGTAGAAGACCTTGCAGAAACTACAGATCCCAGGGTTGACATAGCATGGAGTCGGGGCAGGGCATGGCTCAGTGCGGTGGCTTCCTGGGAGTTGTAGTTTGCCAAGCCAGGGGAGGGCTCATTGCCTTGTGAAACTGCAACTCCCAAGAAGCCACAGCATTGAGTCAGGCAGGCCACCGCAGTCTGGGAGTTGGTAGTTTCCCAAGGTCTTGGGAAACTACAACTCCCTGGGTGCCATAGCATTGAAGTGGTAAATAGACCTTGAGGGAACTACAAATCCCAGGGTGACATAGCATTGAGTCAGGCAGGCCATGGCAGTCTGGGAGTTGTAGTTTCCCAAGGTCTTGTGAAACTACAACTCCCTGGGTGCCATAGCATTGAAGTGGTYAATAGACCTTGRAAAAACTACAAATCCCAGGGTGGTGACATAGCATTGAGTCAGGCAGGCTACGGCATCCCAGGAGTTGTAGCTTGCTAAGACAGGGGAGGCTCAAGGCCTTGTGAAACTACAACTCCCAAGGTGCCACAGCATGAGTCAGGCAGGCCATGGCAGTCTGGGAGTTGTAGTATCCCAAGGTCTTGTGAAACTACAACTCCCTGGGTGCCATAGCATTGAAGTGGTGAATAGATCTTGCGAAAACTACAAATCCCAGGGTGACATAGCATTGAGTCAGGCAGGCCATGGCAGTCTGGGAGTTGGTAGTTTCCCAAGGTCTTGTGAAACTACAACTCCCTGGGTGCCATAGCATTGAAGTGGTGAATAGACCTTGCGAAAATTACAAATCCCAGGGTAGTGACATAGTATTGAGTCAGGCAGGCTATGGCATCCCAGGAGTTGTAGCTTGCTAAGACAGTGGAGGCTCAAGGGCTTGTGAAACTACAGCTCCCAAGGTGCCACAGCATTGGTGATGAATAGATTCTATAGCATTGAAGTGGTGAATAGACCTTGCGAAAACTACAAATCCCAGGGTGACATAGCATTGAGTCAGGAAGGCTTTGGCATCTCGGGAGTTGTAGCTTGCTAAGACAGGGGAGGCTCAAGGGCTTGTGAAACCACAACTCCCAAGGTGCCACAGCATTGGTGATGAATAGACCTTGAGAAAACTACAAATCCCAGGGTGAGATAGCATCGAGTCAGGCAGGCCATGGCATCCAGGGTGTTGTAATTGCCAAAGCAGGGGAGTCTTAAGAGCTTGTGAAACTACAACTCCCAAGGTGCCACATCATTGGTGATGAATAGACCTTGAGAGAACTATAAATCCCAGGGTGACATAGCATTGAGTCAGGCAGGCTATGGCATCCCGGGAGTTGTAGCTTGCTAAGACAGGGGAGGCTCAATGGCTTGTGAAACTTCAACTCCCAGGATTCCATAGCATTGAAGTGGTGAATACACCTTGCGATTCTACAAATCCCAGGGTGACATTGCATTGAGTCAGACAGGCCATGGCATCCCAGGAGTTGTAGCTTGCTAAGACAGGGGAGGCTCAAGGCCTTGTGAAACTACAACTCCCAAGGTGCCACAGCATGAGTCAGGCAGGCCATGGCGGTCTGGGAGTTGGTAGTTTCCCAAGGTCTTGTGAAACTACAACTCCCTGGGTGCCATAGCATTGAAGTGGTGAATAGACCTTGCGAAAACTACAAATCCCAGGGTAGTGACATAGTATTGAGTCAGGCAGGCTTGGCATCCTGGGAGTTGTAGTTTTCCAAGACACTATAGGGCAGTGGTTCTCAACCTGGAGTCCCCAGATGGTTTGGCCTTCAACTCCCAGAACATCTTAACATCTGGTAAACTGGGTTGCTGTAAGTTTTTTGGGCTGTATGGCCATGTTCCAGAAGCATTCTCTCCTGACGTTTCGCCTGCATCAACGGCAGGCATCCTCAGAGGTTGTGAGGTCTGTTGGAAACTATAGGAAAATTAGGTTTATATATCTAAAATCATAACAGTAAATAAAGAACACTGAAAAACAAGGGAACTCCAGACAAGAAACAATCAGGGACAGCTAACCACCTCCCAACAAAGGATTCCCCCAGGCAGTAAGAAGTCACACCCGAAACTTCTAGGCCATTAAATGCTAATCAATTAAATAATATTGTTTAATGTGTATATTTATGTTTTTTTTGTTGTTGTTGTTAGCCACCTTGAGGATGAAATATAAAGGATCTAAATAAGTGTATATATATAAAAATGTAATGTTCGTTTGTGGGATTAACATAACTCAACAACCACTGGACTAATTGCTGCCAAATTTGGCCACAAGACACCTACTAACCCAAGGAGTGACCATCACTCAAAACAAAGTTGATTTTGTCATTTGGGAGTTGTTGCTGGGATTTATAGTTCACCTACAATCAAAGAACATTCTGAATTCCACCAATGATGGAATTGAACCAAACATGGCACACAGGACTCCCATGACCAAGAGAAAATACTGGAAGGGTTTGGTAGGCACTGACCTTAAGTCTGGGAGTTGTAGTTCACCTATATCCAGCCAGCACCGTGGACTCAAACAATGATGGATCTGGAGCAAACCTGGCACAAATACTCAATATGTACAAATGTGAACAGTGGTGGAGTTTGGGGAAAATAAACCTTGACATTTGGGAGTTGTCATTGCTGGGATTTATAGTTCACCTACAATTATGCTGGGGAAAATGGAAGGAAAAAGGAAGAGGGGCCGACCAAGGGCAAGATGGATGGATGGTATCCAATGGAAACATTCACACCTATCTCCAACAGACAGGAGTTCTTTCTCCCACCCTGGACATTCCACAGAAATATAAACCCCTGGCACTCTTTGACAAAGAAGTCTATAGAGACCTTGTAAAATTACAACTCCCGTGATTCTGTATCACTGTGCCATGGCACTTCAAGTAGTATCAAACAGCATTAATTCTACAGTATAGATGCACTTCTAACCCCTTACAATATCACTTTGATGCTTCAATCCTGGAAAGCCTTTCTTTCTTTCTTTCTTTCTTTCTTTCTTTCTTTCTTTCTTTCTTTCTTTCTTTCTTTCTTTCTTTCTTTCTTTCTTTCTTTCCTTTCCTTTCCTTTCCTTTTCTTTCTTTCTTTCTTTCTTTTCTTCCTTCCTTCCTTCCTTCCTTCCTTCCTTCCTTCCTTCCTTCTTCCTTCCTTCCTTCCTTCTTTCCTTCCTTCTTCCTTCCTTCTTTCTTCTTTCCTTCTTTCCTTCCTTCTTTCCTTCCTTCCTTCCT